ATGTGTCTTAGACAGCACGGAATGAATCAGTGACAATTTTCCCAGAAGATTCACTGCTTATTATAATTGGGTCTGCAGTTCTCATGCACATCCTCTTGTACCCTCGCACAAGTCTTACAGAAGCACAAGAGGAAGAACTTGTGCATTGGGACACAATGTCATCCATGTCATATGCTAAAGATGTTTTGTCAAGGCTAATGCACGACCCTTGTACAGTTGTATCACTAGAGTCAGAAAACATATCACATGATCCTGGCTAAGTTTCACTAGAACCCTAAGTGTGAGAGCCGGAGGTAATGGACAGATCATTTGTATCACCTGAGCCAGAAAACAGATCACAAGGTCCTGGCTAAGTTTCACTAGAACCCTAAGTGTGAGATCCGGAGGTAATGGACAGATCATTCGTATCACTAGAGCCAGAAAACAGATCTCAAGGTCCTGGCTAAGTTACACTGGAACCCTAAGTGTGAGAGCCGGAGGCAATGGACAGATCATTTGTATCACTAGAGCCACAAACCAGATCACAAGGTCCTGGCTAAGTTACTCTAGAACCCTAAGTGTGAGAGCTAGAGGTAATGGACAGATCATTTGTATCAATAGAGTCAGAAAACAGATCACAAGGTCATGGCTAAGTTTCACTAGAACCCTGAGTGTGAGAGCTGGAGGTAATGGCCAGATCATTTGTATCACTAGAGTCCGAAAACAGATCACAAGGTCCTGGCCAAGTTTCACTAGAACCCTAAGTGTGAGAGCTAGAGGTAATGGACAGATCATTTGTATCAATAGAGTCAGAAAACAGATCACAAGGGCCTGGCTAAGTTACACTAGAACCCCTTAGTGAGAGAGCTGGAGGTAATGGACAGATCATTTGTATCACTAGAGCCACAAACCAGATCACAAGGTCCTGGCTAAGTTACACTGGAACCCTAAGTGTGAGAGCCGGAGGCAATGGACAGATCATTTGTATCACTAGAGCCAGAAAACAGATCTCAAGGTCCTGGCTAAGTTACACTAGAACCCTAAGTGTGAGCGCTGGAGGTAATGGACAGATCATTTGTATCACTATAGCCAGAAAACAGATCACAAGGTCCTGGCTAAGTTACACTGGAACCCTAAGTGTGAGAGCCGGAGGCAATGGACAGATCATTTGTATCACTAGAGACAGAAAACAGATCACAAGGTCCTGGCTAAGTTAGAACCCCTTAGTGTGAGAGCTGGAGGTAATGGCCAGATCATTTGTATCACTAGAGTCCGAAAACAGATCACAAGGTCCTGGCTAAGTTACTCTAGAACCCTAAGTGTGAGAGCTAGAGGTAATGGACAGATCATTTGTATCAATAGAGTCAGAAAACAGATCACAAGGTCCTGGCTAAGTTACACTAGAACCCCTTAGTGTGAGAGCTGGAGGTAATGGACAGATCATTTGTATCACTAGAGTCAGAAAACAGATCACAAGGTCCTGGCTAAGTTACACTAGAACCCTAAGTGTGAGAGCTGGAGGTAATGGACAGATCATTTGAGGGACCCCCAAAAGTACATGTACACTCATGACTTGCATGTATGACACATTGCATGCATTTTTATCACTGCCATCCTGGATGTTTTCATGGTCCAATTTATACGATAAATGTTCATCGGGCGTTATGAAAATATATTCCCCGAAAATAAATATCTGCATTATAGTCTCATGTGCATAATTACAAAATGTGGGCACAGGAGGTAAAATATAATATGGAGGCACGTTAATCAAAATACAATCACTTCCATCAGTTATTGGAATCAAGTCGCCTTCGCTTACAGAACTCTTGAAAGTTAGTTTTTTTCTGTAAAAAATGGTGTACATGTTCAATGTTCATGTTTTATTAATAAAATATCTTGCCTAATAGTTAAGACCCTTTTTTCATCAATCTTAAATTAAACTGCCATGCAATGTATTTGATTTTATTTATACCGTTATTATCATGTGAAACTGATAAATGGTATCCTTTTGGTTAAATGTAATTTTAATTTTAATTAAATTTAATTCATGTTAAAGAAATTATATATGATTTTTTTTTTGTTATCCTTTGGGGGTAAATTGAATATTAATTTTAATATTATTTTTTTGGTTCTATGTATAATCAAAATATTCTTACCCATTTGTAGATGCCATTTTGTTCACTTGTTTATGAAAATAATGAATACCTGTAAAAAGAAATCGTATTTTAATTTTGAAAGTAGTAATAAATTTGAAATGGATTATAAGTAAAGTGGAATAACTCTTTTATCTTAATCTTATGTTGTAAACTGGCTACCAATTTGTAAAATTCCTGCATCTACATGCATTTACGAAATATTCTGAAATATGTCCATTAAATCCTCACATCATTAAGAAATACAATATGATATACAATAAGATATGAAAAACTTTGATAAATTTAAGTTATGCTTATTCAACACGTATTACGAAGCTTGCATACTAAGAGCCTTGCGTTGACAAGCATTTAATTTTTATTGATATTATATTCATATTTAATTGGTTTTATATCTATTCTATGCATATGCGATACGAAAAATTATTTACTAATCAATTTTTTTCGCGTTTTTATAAATGCCGACTTAGGGAAGTTTTCCGTCATAGCTCTTTATACAGTCCTTTAGCTTTCTTCCATTTCTGACAAGCCCACTGTGCCACATTCGTCCCTTTTATCAAAACGTCAAACTTATTGTAATTTAAATTTCATAAAGTGGCTAGTGCTATTCAATTACAATATCAGCCTGCTTTGTTTAAGTATGTTAGATATCACTCCAGTAATTTCCAAACGGAAGTTAAAGGGAGGTTACTGTTAAAGGCAAACCTCCACCATTGACGTGTGGAATCGAGCATGTGAACGCTTTCGTGAATACGGCCCAAGGTCGTCCTCTTCTTTACCTACTATTTACTGAACAATGCGAAAAATTAGGCCGTTCATCATTCAATGTGTTGTCAACACCAATTTAAACAAATATGTACAAATCATACACTGTCCTGAATCTGGTAATAATTATTTGAGGTTCTTATGTACCGCTTTATCACAACCTACATGTAGTTCGTAGATAAGACTTTCTATCGAAGTATCAAAGGGACTTAGATATGTTTCGAATAATGAACCTTAATACTGTTTATTATATACTTGATACTTTCTCGTAATTCCAATAGCCGCACTCCATACAAATGACAAATTCTATAAAATAACAGAAACATTATTCAAACTCGTAATCGATAAAACAAACTAGATAAAAAAAACAAGGCAAAGTTTCTATGAAGACCATTTAAAAAGCAGAAGGAGAATAAGACAAGACCAGGTGTTACTGAGGAGAAACGACAACACTTGTCATGTACATTTCTGTTGAAACAAAGTAATGTCGTGTCACCATCTCGGGTAGTGGCAATAACACTACCAGGCTCACTTATGAGCAAAATCGAAAAAAGCAACCTTCAAAATCTGAGGAGGATACATACGATCAACATGGTCAATATTATTTAGTGTCGTCCAAAGACAGCACATTACCGATATATCTGAATGGACAATTGAAGGACCTGGCTGTGTTTTGCTACCAGAGGGAACAGGTGCGAAAAACTCCTGTATCAAAAATTCGGAACTGTCGAAGAGTTTAGGTTAAAATTCCAAAGTTATGGAATTTTGTGCTAGTGAATGTGGTCTGCTAAAAGCTTTAAATAGAAATACTGACCAAGGAAAAACTATAACTTTTTCAAGTTCATAAAAAATTATTTTTACCATATTAATAGTTGTATACTATGTACATACACATTACAACGACATGTTTAGAAGTAAAAACCAACAGTTGATAACGTTCTAAAATATGCTCACGAAGTAATAAAAGCAGAACTTCACGTTATGTGGACAACAGTGTTCACCTTCATGTCATATAGACCACAGTGTTAACCTTCACGTCATATGGACCACAGAGTTCACCTTCACGTCATATAGACCACAGAGTTCACCTTCACGTCATATAGACCACAGCGTTCACCTTCATGTCATATAGACCACAGTGTTCACCTTCATGTCATATAGACCACAGCGTTCACCTTCATATCATATGGACCACAGAGTTCACCTTCACGTCATATGGACAACAGCGTTCACCTTCACGTCATATGGACAACATAATTCACCTTCACGTCATATGGACCACAGCGTTCACCTTCATGTCATATCGACCACAGCGTTCACCTTCATATCATATGGACCACAGAGCTCACCTTCACGTCATATGGACAACAGCGTTCACCTTCACGTCATATGGACAACAGAGTTCATCTTCACGTCATAGGGACCACAGAGTTCACCTTCACGTCATAAGGACAACAGAGTTCATCTTCACGTCATATGGACAACAGAGTTCATCTTCACGTCATATGGACAACAGAGTTCATCTTCACGTCATATGGACCACAGAGTTCACCTTCACGTCATATAGACAACAGTGTTCACCTTCACGTCATATGGACCACAGAGTTCACCTTCACGTCATATGGACAACAGAGTTCATCTTCACGTCATATGGACCACAGAGTTCACCTTCACGTCATATGGACCACAGAGTTCACCTTCACCTCATATGGACAACAGTGTTCACCTTCACGTCATATGGACCACAGAGATCACCTTCACGTCATATGGACAACAGTGTTCACCTTCACGTCATATGGACAACAGAGTTCACATCAATCACACTGCATCAGGCACGTTTACTTATCACGAACATATACTATCAATCTTGAAAGCATTGTTAGTCAAACAAATAATAGGTTTCATTGATTGCATATAAATATATACAAACAGAATATACTTTTTCACCCGATATTTCACATATACCGAAAAAATTGGGAATCACTATATCTCAAGCAAAAAAGAAAGACACCACTAGATTCGGAAACATATTTTTGCCTGGTGTAATGAAAGCTGAGTGTGACCGATTTAAGTACCGGAATTATCAGACAGGTCACACCTTTAGATATATCTAGCATTAGTTCGGGAGCTGGAATTGATAAGCACGGATAGTTGACTACATAACAAGCAGAATTCAGAGGTAAAAGAAATTCATCAAGCTATTCTTATAAAATTGATATAAATGCATATCTTGTTATCTTGAAACAATTACGAAATATTTCTCATAAACATGAAAAGATTATGGAATCATTGCTATTTAAATACACTATGTTGTTTAAATTCTAACTCCACGTGCTAATGAGATGGCGTACAAATTAGCAATGCATAGTCCGACATTTAATTTACCTTAAACGTTATTATGCATTGTAGTACAAAACTGTGTTTAGGCCAGGGTTGAAGTAGGACATATACTGAACATTTGACATTTACATTGCATGTAATTATCTTAAAATTCTGACATATTTAACATCACAATTAAGTTGTTCTTATTCCAATGGTTATCTTCCCCTGAACAGTTATACATGCAAATGTATATGTTGTAAACATTGAATGATGCCAATATGATGTCATTGCAATAATAGTTTATTTCAGAACAACGATGTTACGGATTGTGCTGTTTATGCTAAGCACCAGCCTGATCCCAGTCCTGGGAGCAGAAGAGTGTCTGTGTACTAACTCTGATGTGGTCATACGGACAATGCCAAGTCCAACAGCTCCAGTGGCTGGAAAACTGGCTACAGGCTCGTGTCTGAAACCGTCTGACTTTACACGAAGTGACAGATGGTTACAAATCACTGGAGACCAGGGACCTGTAAGTTATATATTTGTTGTTGCAAGGAGTTGGGATAAGTAACAGTCAATCTATTTGCCAGAGGAGTTGGGTCCGCAGACACAAACCGTCGTTTGTTTGTATGGGCAGGTCCTACCTGAGAAAAATCTATCCAAAATGGAATGTTTCGCTGGAACTTTTGTTAACTTTCAGAATATTTTAACATTTTATGTCTTTTTCCGTTGTGTCGTGTATTGAATTGTAAAGTTATCAAGTTTACGTAGCGAAGGCAATCGAAGTCTTAATTGATGGAAACTTACATTTTGATAATAATAAATTGTTACATTGTTCTGTCATTGTTTGTCATGACAACACTTTTATCATCTCTCGCATGTAGGAACATACCAACGGCCACCTGTGGCAAAACAAACCACGAAAGTATACATATCTCTTTATTCATAGAGCAGTACATAATTTTCAACAAAACAAAATTAAATAGCATAATGTCCAAATAGATTGATAAATTATATTTGGTTCATCATATAACCACCGGCCAAATATAAGTAAAATCACTTGAAGTAGCCATTTTGTTTATTGACGTATTAGTAATAACTTTTTTTTTTTTTTTACAGTCTGGTTACCTGTTTGAATCTGATGCTTTGCAACGTAAGCCGTGCACAGGTAACACCTAGTATATTTTCAGTAAAATTTTTACTTTTTGTATTATCCTGTATTGTTTAAAAATAAGCCAATTTCTATTGGAAGTTAAATTTACATACATAAATACAGTAGAAAATTTAGGCATTCGACCCTACATTATACAAAAGATTTTAGTTTCAAGATATTAAGAAAGGGCTATAAATGTAGTCGACATTTACAAAATGTGTGCATACGTGATTATGGAGTTCGTCTATATCTGTAAGGATAATTGTATTGCTAAGCATATCATTCATCGAGTGTTCTTATATGAGAGCCGATTCATTAGTTCAATTATAGCCATTACTTTTATTTAACTATTTAAACAAAAGGAGTATATTATTCCTATACATGGTTAAGATACTTTCAAAATAAATTACTATATGTCTTATTCGATAACTTCCAAAGTATAAGATCATGAACACTAAAAAGTAGACATTACTATCGACATATTGTGTCTATCATCATCACCGTCACCATCACCACCACCACCATCATCACCATCATCACCACCACCACCACCACCACCATCACCACCACCGCCATTATCCTTATCATCATCACCACCTCCACCACCACAAACACCACCACCATCACAACCACCATCACCACCATTACCACCATCATCACCACCACCACCACCACCACCACCATCACCACCACCGCCATTATCCTTATCATCATCACCACCTCCACCACCACAAACACCACCACCATCATCAACACCACTACGAAGACCACCATCATCATCATAATCATCATCACCGCCACCAACACCACCCCCACCACCACCACCACCACCACCACCACCACCACCACCACCATTATCCTTATCAGCATCACCACCTCCACCACCACCACCACCATTATCCTTATAATCATCACCATCGTCATCATCATCATCATCATCAGTTTTCCCATCTCTATCATTATTCATAAAAGTCCCGCAAAGTGAAGGTTTTTTGAGAAACGATTAATCGAAGGTTTCCAGCGAATAGTTATATTTTTGACAGTGTTATACATATTTGCTATGATTATTCTCGGATTCATATTATTATGTATTTATAACATGATATAATAATACACTTCATAAGCGTTGTCAATAAATCTCTGTCTGTGGTGTGTGTTATGTGTTCCGAGTCTATAAGGTCTGTGTAATATGTACACTACATGTGCATTTCAATGAAATGAAATTCTTGCATTTGATGTCGATTACCACTTAATCCGTATCCAGTTACTAATTGCTGAGTCCAGAATAATTTATTCACCTCTAACTACTTGTAACGGATACATATAACAATATGTTACTAGCAGCATGATGGTCGTGTATTGAAGGTAATACAATACTAATGAGACTGGTCAGCAAACAAAATAAATGGCATTATAACCAATGTATATAACATAGAAGGTTTGCCAAAAACATCACAATTATTTTATGAATACAAGTTATATTTAAAAATTGCTTAGCAAATGGTATATTTCTATTAACCTAGGTACACTTTCTAGGAGAGCAGGCTCGTTCTGTCCTTCCCATTGTCAATCTGATTGTTGTGACGATCGAAATTCCCATCACCATGGTGAGTTAATATTTCTGTCTGATACAAATGTACTTATGCCCAATCAGAATGAAGAGACTAGTGTTATTTGTCCTCATGCTGGACCTGATTGCCTGCCACAAGGAACGCATGTTCGTTAACATTTTGTTATTGTTTATCCTACTTATATTGGTTTGTTCTATTCATATTGAACTTCAGTTTCTACAATGAAAAAAATGCTACTCGTTAGTTAAGCTCTACAAATATTAAACTTTATTATCTACCATATGAAAAAAAAACATAGCGATGTTACACCTGACAAAATGTGGTGATTTAAAATATCGGACTTCATTTTCTACCATGACAAAAGCATGTTATTAGTGAGAGGCCTGTCCTAAAAATGTTTTACTATTATATCTACCATAAGAACAAATTTAACATTATAATGTTACACATTAGTGGTGTAACCTACAAGAAGGGAACTGTTTTATCTTCCATGTGAAAAACATCTTCGCTATAAGTCGACACGGCAATAATTTGCCCTATATATATTGGACTTCAGTATCAACCATAACTATTTGTTTGTTGCTTTACATGTAATTGCTTAATTTTAAATTAAGTCGTTAGAAAACATGCTCGCTGTTGTTTTCATTCTTATTACGTATATAACCTTGAGCTTACATAATGTACTTATAATTTACAGGAGTATATTGTTATTCATGTGGTGCGCACTGTTGCAATCAGAATCAGGATGATGGTATGTTTACAGATTAATTCACCCTTTAACAATTTGAATATTCAATCCATATTATTAAAGCAATAATTGTCTAATGAAACGTTACTTTTAATTCAGCTTGTAGGTTAGTAACTTCAAACTTTAAAAGATTTTGTTAGCATATTTATTTATCTATTTATTTATATCAAACAGGTTTACAAAAAATGAACTATTAATGCCAACTGTTTTGTATTTAGCTGAATATAATTTGGCGTTTTATTTCATTTTCAGTTGATTTAACATGTGAGAATACATTTCTTGTGAAATGCAAATACTCGGACATGTATAAGTTAATTAACGAGTGTGGACTTAATATTGAAATTCACGTCCAAGTCAGTATTCCCCAACACGTAACATAGATGATATTGGCATTTCCAACCAGTGCAGTTCTTTTCATTCACTGCAATCAAACCCGCAGATATACGTTCAGCTGTTGACAAAGTGACGTTTTAATATTGGGGTGTTTTGATATACCCTTCAAAATTCAGTTGATATTCTTACATGTATCAGCTTTGAATGTTTAACTGAATTGTTGACGTTATTATATTTACATGAATGACGTCATAACTTTAATTTGTGGTATAAAGGTATGCAATCAAAATTCAGTGCGCTACAGATTTTACCAATTCCAGCTTCGTTCCTAGTGACCATAAAAGAAGACCATAAACAGGTCGATGCTGAATTAACATGAACTTAAAGTATTTTGTCTTTAAATGATAAGTGAATGCACTGTTAATTAAAAATAATAATAGAAATTGTAATTTTTTGTTAAAAATCAAATTATGTGTTTATTAATCACAATGTCTTTTAGGAACTGAATAGAAATCGGAAGCACATTGATTTACATATTCATGTGATTAATAGATAAAATCTACATAAGTGTGGGAAGTTATAAGAAATTTTCCTCTTTATTTTGTTTTTCTTTCTGAAATAGTCTTGTTTCGGCATTGTTTAGGTCCGGAGTGGTCTAACTGGAGCCACTGTAGTGGAAGCTGTGGGCAGGGAACCAGAAGTCGGACCTGTACAAATCGCTGTCACTCATTACACTCACATACACAAACTGAAACATGTCAACACATGATATCATGTCCTGGTATGAGAAAGCTGCCTTAAATGTCACAAAGGAGATTGTTATATTAAATATATAGCTATATAAATACCATCATAGATAACAGTACGCTTTACAGAATGATAAATAAACAAGAGAACGAAGCACACATGTGGATGTGTACATGCGCGTAATAAAAACACAGATACTGGTTTGATTTTATAATATTTTCAATTCTTACGGTAATGCCCTGCAGTATTCGTTCTATGACGAGGTTCAGGTATGAGAATACAACCGCAGCTGCTACGGGTTATTCATGAGTACAAAGCCTGATCACTACTGGTACGATTGCGTGACTACACACTCCGAAAATAGTTCCTTAAATTAACTATTCAAAACGTTAAATAGCACTTAATTTAATTCGACATTAGTTGAATATGATTTTTCTATTCAGTTTAGATATTCCTCTTTTTTCCTAAAACTAAATCTTTCGAACTTTCGGGGAAAACAGCGCGCATGACGCCAGTTGATCCTCTGTTCTAGTTCTTGTTATGCGCATGTACTCGCCGAAAACTACTGGACATTTTGAATTGTAGGGAAAACACAATTCTCGGTACATTTCTTATATGTTAACAAAAACATAAGCAATACACTACATATGTGTTGTGTTGCAGACCTACTGGTATACACTACAACATGTATCGCAGACGAACATATCACGCTTACCATCAGTATGTCTGCCGCACAAGAAGCGGTTCTACCAGCAGATCTGCAACATCTATGCAGCTTATTGCTTAAATATAGAAATATTTATATACATTATAAGTCTAATTCAGTCATAAAAAAATGATAATAACCTTTCCCGCAATTACTGAACATTCATGATGATATAGCGTACAATGACAATACCATATTCAACTCCTCGATTGAATCAGTGTATGACAAACCTATTAGTATAATTCTAACTGGTGGTTACAGTAGAGCAAGTACATGTATTTGAAGTAATGTTTTTTCATATTTTCTCCGCTAAAGTATCGTTTTCATTATAGTTTATTTTCCTACCTAATAGAATTGGTGAGGTATCATGAGAGCATCGTTAGTCGCCATGTTGGCCACACGTGTAGCCAGAATCGCCTAAAATCCGAATTACATCATCGCTTCCACAGAGTGGTTTTCCATTATGTCTCACTAAAGTATCTCGTCGGCTTCTGTTTTCTGTCTGTATTGACTCTTCGGTTCGGTTATAACATTTCATATGAACTGTATGTTATATTTTTATTTTACTTTTATATTGATATCAAATTGTAAGTAAAACGGGAAAGCTAGTAAATGAATAACACTAATAATTTTCTCTTATATCTAGTTAAGACTCTGTTAGAGAAGGTATTATGATACACTAAATTTCATGTTAACAAATCATAGCTGGTTAAGATATGTCTTACTTGCTTGGACATGATATACCATGACGGGTTCTTTATATCTTTCTTGAAATACTTACCTGTCCAGAGAACCTTATTTCGATTCCTGTTCTTTTTGATTGATGTTGATACATAATGGGTCCTTTTGGTCTTTCGGAACTCGTTGTTTCATAGTTAATTTGTTTGTACACTTTATTCACCAATATTGTGCCCTGATGGATTTTACACGTCATTTCGGAAATTGAAGATGTAGATGTTGTCCTACCTTTAGTTTTAGTGTCCCCTTGGTCTTTCATGTAGATTTGTTCACTTTATTCAGATAACGTTTTGACATACCACATATTCTTTCTTTCTTTTTTCTTTGCCTTTTTTATTTTTTTATTTCAACAGTCTAAATTTTATTTTTTCTTTTAAATGTTTTTACCTCAGTTTAGGTTTATACATAGATATCCAATGTTGTCGTACTGTTGTTACATTTAACAATTTCGTCATAACGGCATTACTGTAAACATTCCTGTAGCTTATGTCAAACTATTTCTATTGTTTCTTTGCCGTAGTATGGACCACTTTTAGCGAGTGTTCCGTTACCTGTGGAGATGGAACTATGTCACGGCATTGTACATATCACTGTTACGGTCTTCACAGTCAAAGTGAAACAAAAACATGTCACAAACCAGCATGTGAACCAGGTAATGTAAACATTGTCACAGACCAGCATGTGAACCAGGTAATGTAAACAGTGTCATAAACAAGCATGTGAAGCAGGTAATGTAAACAGTGTCATAAACCAGCATGTGAACCAGGTAATGTAAACATTGCCACAGATCAGCATGTAAACCAGGTAATGTATACATTGTCACAGACCAGCATGTGAACCAGGTAATGTAAACATTGTCACAGACCAGCATGTTAACCAGGTAATGTAAACATTGTCACAGACCAGCATGTAAACCAGGTCATGTAAACATTGGCACAAACCCAGGATGTGAACCAGGTAATGTAAACATTGTCACAGACCAGCATGTGAACCAGGTAATATAAACATGTTCACAAATCGTATGTAAACCAGGTAATGTATACATTTTCACAGACCAGCATGTGAACCAGGTAATGTAAGCATTGTCACAGACCAGCATGTGAACCAGGTAATGTAAACATTGTCACAGACCAGCATGTGAACCAGGTAATGTAAACATTGTCACAGACCAGCATGTGAACCAGGTAATGTAAACATTGGCACAAACCCAGGATGTGAACCAGGTAATGTAAACATTGTCACAGACCCAGCATGTGAACCAGGTAATGTAAGCATTGTCACAGACCAGCATGTGAACCAGGTAATGTAAACATGTTCACAAATCGTATGTGAACCAGGTAATTTGAATTTTTGTCACCGACCAGCATGTGAACCAGGTAATTGACACATTGTCAGCATGTGAACCAGGTAATTGACAAATTGTTAGCATGTGGAAACGGTAATTTAGATATCAAATGCTTGATGTACCTGCCATTTAAGTTGATTACCCTATTTTATCTATATCACTTTATTTTGATGCTGTTATTAATGCTTACATAGGTGTCTTTTGATTATGCCATTGCTCAGGTATTATGTTTATGTTTAAATAGTACAACATTACAAGACATGTATAACATACCATTACTTAAGCATAACACATGACTTAAAATAGCATAACTTCGAATAATTCATTTGTATAATTTCAGATGACATTCCATGAAATTGCTTGACTTTGTTTGACATAACATGACTTAACATAAATGGAAAACTTGTACCTTTATTGATTATATATTTACATTTGCTCTGCATCCTTCCGCTGTAATGCATTGCAACGGCATCTGCTAAACATTTGCTTTTGTAACGTCATCAATTTCATTTTTTTAATCACTTTATTTGCTGTTCATAAACTGCTCAAAATAACTAAATAAAGCATAACTACTCTATTAAATGTAAATATAAACAATGAATATTTTAGCAAATATTGTTATTGCTGACAAACTGATAAAAAACTACCCGGCTTTATTAAGTTTGTCATCGATAGCTATGTGTGTTATAGGACCATAACAACATTTGCTAAAACATTCATTGCTTACATAAATAATCAGACACGCACTATATGACATAACATGACAAATAATGACATCTAGTCGTCAATACTAATTGGTAAAACGGCATCTAGAATCAGCAAAACTGTCATGATGAGGATATAAATCCGGGGAATGTCGTAAACAAATCTGAAACATATCAAACGAACTATCAGGCACTTTATATAGAATAGGTCAAAATACGATAACTTTTCGTGGGACATTAATTTTCGTTTATTTCGTTGATAACAAAAATCCACGAAATTAAATCCACATGAAAATGTCAGAAATCATCGAAAGATAATGTCCTTGAAACAGGCTAGTATATGCAAACCATGAAATTTTAACCCCACATAAATAAATTATTCTACAGTTTTTGCTATATACACCACGTTGTACAACGTTGTACATGTTTCGGTCTCAAGTATTGGCTGTTATCTTGTTATAAGAAGTAAAGATTGAGGGTTCAACGACTCCAAGTATCCTTTAGTGTTAGCCAACAATACATATGAATGTATTCTAGTGTTATGGAAACACCAAGTACAACTTGTTTGACCATATGTTAAATTTAACATTATCATTAGACATAGGTGTGATGATGCTTGACTTTAAGTTTTCAATTTGTACTCGAAAAGTTAAACTATTTGAATGTTTGACTGGTTTTAGCAAGAAGTGTCTTGTAGTATTAGGAAATATAACTTAATACAATAGTTTTACATGGTCATTTTTACGTGTAGGGGTTAATAATTATAACAAATTTCTTAATCGGGAAACGGTTTATACTTCGTTTTCTTACTGGCATTAAAACACAATTTTTACACGTACACGCATGTATTAAAAAGCGTATCAATTCAATCTCTGTCTTATTTTATGTGCCAAGGAAATTCGACATTTCGGATATGTTACCAGGAACACAATAGACGAGTTTTTTTACTGAGTATTGTTATATCTAATTTCAGAATGGTCGTTGTACAGTGATTGTAGTGTAACCTGCGGAGACGGGGTTCAGGAACGTCACTGCACCAATCACTGTACCCATCATACAACGGAAACACAGTCGTGTCACAACGGACATTGTCATAACCGTACGTTTGTTAGTAACTGGGTTAGTAACAACACAAAAAAGCGGTTACCAATTTTGAAAACATTTAAAAGGGCTTTCACCAAGATCGCCGGGGTTTGCTTCTTCAATCAGATGTGAAGAGATACATAGAGTATTTCCCTACCTTGAGGGTGTGACAGAGAAATCTCCAACCCGCGGGATGATATTCTCCATTGTCTTACCCGAGGTTGTGCCTTCAAAGTAGAGGATGATTGTTTTAGTCCCATCCTGTTTTACTTAAAAAATCCGCCAATAAGCAGTGATTTCATGAAATGTAAGCAATTGCATATTTCACCAGCTAAACCAGAGCTGTCTTCCATTTTCTACTACTGTTGACGTTACGTCAATGCATTGGTGACGTGACGTCATACTATTATTTTAACGTAGATAACGCTATTTTGCATGGACAATTTCCCCCTAGGGGGTGACAAGCTGTCTTTTCCGGCTTTAAAGGGAGATACACATGTGAAGAAATCTGTGTCACCTGCCTGACATAATAGAAATGCTACCGGTAACGCTCACATACACGTTCTCTTTACCCAAGTAATATGTCTTGGCAAAGACGCGCGGTAAGCTATTTGATTGGTCTCAAGTAAAAATATATCTGACCAATCGAAATGATTATACCTGTCCTACGAAGATCATACAGTAGGTTAAACAAAAAAAATCTTGTTCTTGTAACCTAAATAACGTTTTTTTTTTTATCAATGTCTAGAAAAATAAAACATTTGAATGAATAAAAAGTAACAAATAAGTAAAAAACAATTCTTTTAAAAATAACCATTTGCGTCATGATATATTAAATATTTTACCATTTTCGTTGATTTTCCCTTATCTTTAATCCCACGTCAAGGTCATACCAATTGTTCGTCCTTTTCATTAGAAATTGCATGGACTTGGATTGGAAACTATCATATTAGGAAACGAGGGACAAAACTATTTGTGAAGTTTTCTCATCTTTAATTTGATTTGACTTATAACGAAGAAATTCTTGCGTGAAAGTCCTTTTTCTTTCGAGCGGTCATTTTAATGCGACAAAATCGATTTTTGGTAGCTAATGTACAATCTGCTGATTCTCGCACTTTGCTATTATTTTTACTTGATTGTAATACATCAAATATTACTTTATTTATCGGGGAAAAATAAAGATTTGTTTCCTTCCAATCTAAACTTGATGTGCTATGCGGTAATGGTTTTTTGATTCCAACAGCCTTAAATGGACATTGGTCAGCTTGGACGGACTTTGGAAGTTGTACGGCCACTTGCGGTAGTGGTCAACAGATTCGAACACGTACCTGTTCCAACCCGGCCCCTGCCTATGGTGGGCAGGATTGTGCTCCCGATGCTAATGGAAACACTAACACTCACGTCAAACCATGTGGATCCCAGGAATGTCCAAGTATGTTACAATTAACGAATTATTACGGTTATGCTACATGTAGTAGTTGTTTTGATGTTGGTTAACAAGGTGCTAATGACGACAAAACTCAATATAATTTCACTGAATGCCATGTAAACACAGCTTTCGAGATAAGTAATGGTTCACTTTCGACTGTTTATTATTAGATATTGAATGCTATTTTTTATATATCTGGGATAAGATGATAACCCACCTGCATAACAAAAACATAACATTTTCTTTATTTTTTTCTTTTCTAACAAGATGACCTTCAAGGTTCTTCTCATAAATGCAATAAGCTGACTACGATTGAAGCCCTAGCTGAATTGAGCACCACAAATCCATCAAACTGCCCGGATGTGTGGGCTTCCGGAAGTGACCATTTCCTACACAATCATTGCCAAGCCATACCAGGCACGACAGACTGGAAGAAAGGAATGTCGGTAGGAGAAAAATTGTTTGATCGGCTTAATTACTTTAAACCACCATGAAATGTATTATCCGACAGACAAACTAAGGGAAACCGGACTAATTTTATCACTTAGAATCGAAATCTAAATATACTAATCAACACCACCTGTTCTGTTCTGTCGGATGAAATTGAACATTAATTGTTTCATTACACATGGTATATTTCAACTTGTTGACAAATACTGATTATGGTTTGTCATAGGTCGGGTACGACTTGAAAGGAAATAGAACCATCCAACCGTACACACCAATTGCAACTTTCTGGAACAATGCCTACCAACAAGATAGTTCCCACGAGGGTTTTAGCGGCATCTTCATTTCCTATACCAGCAACGGATTCAAGGTAAAGCTACCAATATTATAAAACGATTTAAGTGATCTTTTATATTTCTCATAAATGTGGGATCAGTTCTTAATTGTTTAAAGGCTTGTCGACTGAAGGACAATTAACGAAGATGTTTAATCCAGAAAATGTTTAAATACATTGCAATGTAAAGCTCAATTATGCAAATAATTTAAAGTCGTATATTTACATTTGTATGGCATTGTCACAATATAAACTATTTGAAAGCTGTATCGTTGATCGGACTTTAAATGCCATGAACTAAAATATGGAATATAAACAAACATGACAACTGCTGAAATATCGCTGGGCATAGTGAGACTTGACAATGTAATTGTAAATGTGTAAAAAATTAAACTGAGAAAATACTTTTATTACAACAAAACAAAAGACAAAGGTCTGCAAACTGCACATCGGTTGAAATAAGCAATGAAAACAATGTTAACACTCAAGTTTCTATCCATGACAGAATCAAATGATCTTCCTACTATTTGCTTGGATTCGCCCGACTTTTCGGTGATAATTTATCACCTAGCGGGAATGAAACTTTTACAAATATTAAGTTGGCTGATATTAATTTTGAACATTGGCATTGATGCGAATGAAAACTCAAGCTGCAAATTCGTATTGTTCATACTGCTCATTCAACTTCCAAAAATAACTCCAACATGAAGGGCAAGGTCGGATTACAGTGTTGACTGTATCCATGCACGAACGTTGTTGCGGGGTAAAAATTAAAAATTGCAAATATAACTTTCAGCTCAGATTTCTATTGATAAACTTAAATCACCCTATAGACACTATCATACGTAATCGTATTGATACTAAACTGTAGAGTAAAATTTAAGAGTTTTTAAAGTACCACGTTGTTTGCCAATCAGCGACATCACGCTGTTCCGGCTATTGAACACATCTGTGTGGACTGTCGATAAGGCGGGTATTTGAAATTTAAAATTTAACTTGTACAGTGTAAGTTAAAAGAGAGAAATGGCAGAGAAAACGTTAATATAAGTATTGAACTGTTTTTGTATGGCATTTATGATCTATTTAACACAGGTTTGCTATCAAACAAATCATAACGCGCTAGCATGGTAAGCATCTAAAAATAATAATTTAAAAAGTAAATTCTCCATGAACAACATAAATAATCAATAAAAAATTAAGATAATTAAATTTAAATAAATATTATCGAGGTCCTTAAACTCTCCCATTCAAGTATTTGGATATTTTTCATCTTAAAGCCAATCTTGATTGACTCATTGGTTTTTCGGTTGCATTTAAAACTATTTTTGAAACACAATTCAACAGTCATCGTTTTAAATAATCATTAAATATGTATTATTCAACTAAATCTGAATGTAGTATTTTGTATGTAATTTCGAACAATAAAGGTGCTTTTGGCACAAAGATCTTAATGATGCTCTTAATTCGTATACTTAATTTAGTATCCCTGTTTCAAATGACTTAAAGATTTAATTTTGTTTTCAGATGGCGACCAGAACTTGCGATGGGGTAGCAGAAGTGATGGACATCCCCAGAAATACGACAACATTTACGAATGCAATGTACCCTAACGATCCGTTCAACTATTTTACTGTTAGGTGGTGATAATTTTATTAGACTTCAAATAAAATTGTTGGCTACAAAAAACTGTCCATTGAATATTTTTGACCAAAGTTCAACATTTATAAAAAAAAAATGGAAAAGATAATAAAGTCATGTCGTCATTTATTGAAGACACTTGATATTTCTTAACAGTTGATAAATTGTCATCTGAACATTTAAAACGATTAACAATAAAATCTTAATTTGAAAGTGACTAAGCGACTGTATAACATTGGGCTTGGCGTGTGGTGATGGAAAGCTATGTTTGTAGTTCACTCGCTGCCGACGAACATCTAACATAGTACGCTTTGTGTCCGCTGAAGATTTTACCTCTGTAAGTTATGTAAGTTTATGCTAAATTTTAATGTTCCAACAAGAATGTTTTCACCGAATGGAGTTTTCAGGTTCGTTTGAGGCTACATTGTTGGTAGAGTTTTTCATCAAACTTTATTATAGGGCTGTACACAAGGCAATACAATCATCTGTTAATCACTGCCAATACAGGTAAAGGGACTTTATTATAGGGGTGTACAAAAGGCAATACAATCATCTGTTAATCACTGATATTACAGGGAAAGGGACTTTATTATAGGTCTGTACACAAGGCAATACAATCATCTGCTAATCACTGATATTACAGGTAAAGGGACTTTATTAGAGGGCTGTACACAAGGCAATACAATCATCAGTTAATCACTGACAATACAGGTAAAGGTACTTTATTATAGGGCTGTACACAAGGCCATACAATCATCTGTTAATCACTGACAACACAGGTAAAGGGAATTTATTATAGGGCTGTACACAAGGCAATACGATCATCTGTTAATCACTGACAATACAGCTAAGGGGACTTTATTATAGGGCTGTACACAAGGGAATACAATCATCTGTTAATCACTGACACTACATTGTTGGTAGAGTTTTTCATCAAACTTTATGATAGGGCTGTACACAAGGCAATACAATCCTCTGTTAATCACTGACAATACAGGTAAGGGGACTTTATTATAGGGCTGTACACAAGGGAATACAATCATCTGTTAATCACTGACACTACATTGTTGGTAGAGTTTTTCATCAAACTTTATTATAGGGCTGTATACAAGGCAATACAATCATCTGTTAATCCCTGACAATACATGTAAAGGGACTTTATTATAGGGCTGTACCCAAGGCAATACAATCATCTGTTAATCACTGATATTACAGGGAAAGGGACTTTATTATAGGTCTGTACACAAGGCAATACAATCATCTGATAATCACTGACAATACAGGTAAAGGGAATTTATTATAGGGCTGTACACAAGGCAATACAATCATCAGTTAATCACTGACAATACAGGTAAAGGGCCTTTATTATAGGGCTGTACACAAGGCACTACAATCATCTGTTAATCACTGACAATATAGGTAAAGGGACTTTATTATAGGGCTGTACACAACGCAATACAATCATCTGTTAATCACTGATAATACAGGTAAAGGGACTTTATTATAGGGCTCTCCACAAGGCAATACAATCATCTGTTAATCTCTGACAGTACAGGTAAAGGGACTTGATTATAGGGCTGTACACAAGGCAATACGATCATCTGTTAATCACTGACAATACAGCTAAAGGGACTTTATTATAGGGCTGTACACAACGCAATACAATCATCTGTTAATCACTGAAAATACGGCGAAAGGGACTTTATTATAGGGCTGTACACAACGCAATACAATCATCTGTTAATCACTGATATTACAGGTAAAGGGACTTTATTAGAGGGCTGTACACAAGGCAATACAATCATCGGTTAATCACTGACAATCCAGGTAACGGGACTTTATTATAGGGCTGTACACAACGCAATACAATCATCTGTTAATCACTGATATTACAGGTAAAGGGACTTTTAAGTATGTTAACATACAAATCTGTCAATACATTGAGTACATTGTAAATGTACAGATATATTTACTGTGACATTGTAATACACTTATAAATGTAATATATTTACTGTGACAGTGTTATACACTAATAAATATAGTGTATTTACTGTGACATTGTAATACACTTATAAATGTAGTATATTTACTGTGACAGTGTAATACACTTATAAATATAGTATATTTACTGTGACTGTAATACACTTATAAATGTAGCATATTTACTGTGACAGTGTAGTACACTTATAATTCCCGTAAAACTTTACCTTCAAACAGAAAAAGGTCAGCATAGCAGAAACATCCTAGCTTTTCCCCCTAACCTATAGTGTTAATCGAAATATTGTTTATATTAAAAAGCAATGCAAGCTTCTTTCTAATGGGCTCCCTTAAAGATATACATATATTATAAATGTATTGTCATACATTTGCATGTAAGTCTTCAGATATAGTGAAAACGATTACATATAAGACATGGTAAAACTTTATTAGGCAAATAAGGCGCATAAGTGCATAATCCATAGTTAGAAACATACAAATTCATTTTCAAACTCTTTGAATATGACACCAAACTAGTGTTGGTAAAACATCATATTCAACAGTTTTAACACTTAAAGACGAAGCTTTCGTTAATATTCAATATATTTTCAAAAGCTATATGTAAATACGAAAATGTATACAAATACTCTGCGACCATGAATGCAAACTAATTCCTGACAATAACCTGTATATGTACGTTGTATCAGTGAATGGTCTATTGGATAACTGAACTACTCGGTAGTGCAGCGGACGTAAATCCGGTCATTCAATCAATCAATCGATCAATCTACCGTGCTATCGACAGAAGGCAAATAAAATAGCATACCTTGTCAAGCAAAGGAAGTCAAGCTGTAAATTAATGTCTTTGTCAACAACTCAATTTATACGTGCTCAACCTCATAACCTGACTAAATAATAAGCTATTACCTAATAATTTCTAGGAAACGTTTTTTCTTATATAAAGATTGATGTCCATACCATATAAAATACGACTGCATTACATACTGAAACACTTGCCAGTCTCCGCCGACATGTTAAACAACTTTTTGATAAACAAACAATTCATTCTTAAATTACTATTTAATGTAAACCGTGTTGTATTGCTGACAGTTTATACATGCAATATAATGTAGCGATCGTTATAGGATTTCATTTTGTCATAGTCAAGTTTAAACACAAGCCTCTTATTCATGTTGGATTCGTATGTCATCAAAAGCCTTACTTTCAATGAGTGTTACAATTAAAATCTAAACTTGTTAAAAGTGACCTAAAAATAACATTATTAAAAGCACATTAGCAACAGCTGAAATAATCATAATTCCGTTGTTCAAAATCGAGTTCAAATAAGATTAAATAGATGTGTAACATGTGCCGGTTATCGATATTATATTTTATCAAAATTAATTTAAATGCGTCGACTTAATTAAAGAAAAATGATTCACTTGTGTGTGATTATTAACGATTTGCAGTGATAAATACAACCTTATTCATGTTGCTGTTAATTGTTTTGTTCACCAGTCAGTACACGTGGTGTTTCAGATCTGTACAAAGGTTGTAAGTTGTTTCTGAATACAGTGCCAATACAGTGTCTGTTAAACTATCGTCTTAATGGGTTATCTAGTCTACTTTTTATTTGAATAAGATATTTTGAGAACACACATTTTAATTAACGTCGCAGTCATTATAACAGACAGCAGTACCTCATCCGAGCTATCATTGAGACAGACACGTTTCAGAAAAAATGTCCAACGATGCAACCTGAAGTGAGATCTTAGATAATTACGACTTTCAAATCACACAAATATGCATCCTCGGTACCCGATGGGTCACACTCCCTTTCGCTCTCTGGGCCCCTAGAATACGTCATAGCAAACTTGAAGGCACGCGGCTATCTACCTAACCTCGGGCTAGGCTGATATGTACCTGACCTTTGAATACTAAATGTACAAAGGCGCGAAACCCGACTTCAAAGTCAGTCAATTTTATCGTTATGCGACTGACAGATTCTTTTGATGTACGTCAAAGGATTAAAATATTCTTCTCGTCTGATCCACCAGGTGGTGCAAACTGAGCCTTCGAGTTTGCTATAACATGATCCAGGGTTGCAGAGAGCGTAATTGAGCTTAAATAATAGAGTATCGATGATACAAAAATCAAAATCTCCAAAACTTCTAATTTGTCTGCTTGTGTCATACTTTTTTGTAATTGAAATCTGAAACAACGAAAAAGAGGTGTAAAAAATAAATGTATATTTTGGTAAAAACATCTTCTAAATTCAAAATAGATAGCTACCATGATGTTTTAGTACGGATGTCAAAAATGTATGCCTCAAGGTTACCGAAATATTCAGTTAACAACGAGAAGTTTACACTATAGCAACAATGTGTTTCTCATATTTCTCATAGTGAACATTATAAAGCACTTCCAAAGTTTTACTGCATTTAAAGTCAATCTGTTTCCTGCTACAGATAACTTGACACCACATTTACTGAACCACTGCTCTTACCGTAGACCGTAGTACGCAAGCTTCCCGCACAGTAATGTTTTATGGAAGGCAGTCAAAGCCTTGGAAAGGTATATTACAGTACAGTTGCGATATATTTATTGCTGTTCTTAACCATGAGCCACCAATACGCTACAGGTTAGATTCGAAATCACAGATGTCACAATTTATACTTGCAAAGCCTTTATTTGACAAAAAAGTGTTTAATAACGAATCAGATTTTTTTTTTCCAGTTCAGCTTTAAAAAATGTAGGTGCGCTTAGATTATTCCCTCGATTTTTATATTAATATGTACTTATGTATAGGTTTTCATAAACAGTATCATACATGTTTGAATAACTAAATGGGTAATGTTTGTAGCTTTTTCTTCAAAAGCATATTTTACATTACAGCATATTCTACCGATATAATTCCTAAATCTCGTTGGGTTTGCGTCTGGATTCTTATTATAATGGTGCGTTGTCACGTCACGTCACACATGTGTGGATTTTATCGCACAACGGGGCGATCGAATGTTAAATCGCGCAGGAAGTGCAAACATTGTGCGGACGCTGTGCGATCGATGTATGCACGGTGTGCGAAAGGTGATTTCGGTGCGTGGTGTG